AGAGAGATTTGAGTGGGTCTGTCTGTCATGATGGTGACTGTGAAAGTCCTGTGCTCTAGAGCCCGATGACTTTGGTTGGAATGTAGTCAACACCACTATTGACTCCATGACCTTGGGCAAGTTACTTAACCTCTCTGTGCCTCATCTGTTAAAAAAGGGGATAATAATAATAATATCAGTCACCTCATAGGATTGTTGTGCAAATTAGTTAAAACATGCAAAGCACCAAGAATAGTCTTGGCAAATGAGAGAACATGAGTATTTTTATTTTACTTGCCTAAGTATGGAAGTGAGAGTGATGACTTATGACACTGTAGTCACCTGTGAGTTTGTATATCCCCAGGGTAGGAAAGTGTGCAGTGTTGGGAAGGTCTGTCCTATCCACCGCCTAGGTCTAAGGAGGCAGGTGGGCCACATACCTGCCTCCATGGCTGAGTCCTTGCACTGCTTGGCTTTGTTCTGGCTCTGAGGAGGCAAAGGAAAAACAGTGCTGAGCCTCTGTCCTGGAGACTACCCAAACCCAGCTTAGGACTCCCAGCCTCCTGGGTGAGTGAAGTGCCTCTGTCACAACCCTCCCTGACCACCCAGGGGACACTCAGGAGTCAACTTGTGAACAAGTTCCATCATTTACTCCAGCTTCACCCCACAAAGGACTACAATAAAAAAAGGTTTTAATAAAAAAGAAGTAAAAACAGAAACTTGCAGCCCATGAAAACTAGATATCAGGACCTAGAAAGAAAAATATAGATCAGGAGCCAGGACCTGAGGCTCCATGTGGCCAGTGCTGAATCTACTGGTTGGGACTTAGGCTCTGGTTCCCAACTTGCTGCCCCCAAATTCACCCCCAACCCCCTGCCCTCTCTGGGCCTCAGTTTTCCTGTATATGCAATGGGCAAAAGGTGTTCTTGGGCTCTGGTAGCTCTGCTACCCCCACTCTGGCCCAGAGACCAGAGTAGTCATGAGCTTGGGCTCTGGATGACTTAGGTTCGGATCCTTTCTCTGTTGCTTCCTGGCCCTGAGACCTTGGACAAGCCACTCACCATCACTGGGCCTTAGTTTTCTTTCTGTGACATGGGCCCACTGTGCCCCTCTCCAAGGGTTATGTGAGAGTTAGCATCTGCTCTCATTGCCCTGTGATCTCTGGGCCTGGGCTGCAGAGGGCTTGCTTTGAGGAATTGGTCCTTGGGTGTAGCCAGGAGATGGCAAAAGGGGATCAAGCTGACCCTGTAAATTCATGCCCCAAGATTCTAGGAAACCCATTTTACAGATGAGAATGTGAAGTTCAGAGAGGGGTGGGAAGCTAGTATGTTCCATATGCAGACCTTGCCTGGTTGGGGTGGGGTCCTACTGTACCCCTTCCCTGTGTTACTTCCCCTGCCCCAGCTCTGGGAGACAACATATGGCCTCAGTGGCCCCACAAACCTTTTCCACCTGTTTCTGTTGGCCGCTGATGCTAATACGCTCGAAGGCCTGCTCGGCGTCATCTGCGTCCCGGCACTTCTGCTCATATGTCTTCTTGGACTGGACATGTGTAAGGGTGTGACTTGCGGGGGCCCAGAGTGAGGCTCCCTGAGCCCAATCTCCCTTCTTCCTGTTAGGGGCTATGAATGGAGTGGGGGCCTCCTCCCCAAGGACAGGGATCTGAAGGTCCAGAACAAGAGGGAGAGGGAGTCTTGTTCCCTACCCACTGGGGACATTGTAGCCCTGCCCAAGGCCCCAGCCTTTTCAGAGGGGAGATCACATTAAACCACCAGAAAGTCCCTGAAAATACCATGCATCCTCATGATACTAATAGCCTCTGCACATGCTATCCCCTTTCATGGAACCTTTTTCTCCTCACCCAGTATCCTAAGAGACACAGCTCAGGGGTCCCTTCTCCCTCCACCCTTGGAGTCTACAGCTGACAGCATGGATCACACTGTGGGCCACTGTCTGAGACTGACCACCTTCCTATCAGTCAAGAGTCTCCCATGAACAGTGCCAGGGCTGATCCATGTGGGGCTTTGATACCCAGTGCAACCCCAAACACATGGATGTTCCTGGATAAAGATCTGAGGCAAGCCTTCTCCCAGGTGCCCATCCCAGGTCTCCTGGTATCCACACTTTGGGCTCTGCATACTTCACGGCCCAAGAGCCTTGCACCCACCTCCATGACCTTCTTATAGAGTGACAGCTTGCTCTTCTGAACACGGTCCATGACAGCCTCGTACTGCAGGGGACATGAAGCTCTTAGTGGGGGGGGGGGGGGGCTGTGGCCTCTGGACAGTCCCCTAGGCCAAGAGGATGGGGCTCCCCTGGGATGAGGTGTAGCACTTTTCCCCCTCGCCCAGTTCTGAAAGGCATAGTGACAAGATGTCCTCCTCTCCTATTGCCTGTTCTTTTACAATTACTGCTCAGAACAGAAAGCTAGAGAAGCCCAGGACATGTGTATGTCCACCGTGTCCTCTCATTGGCTGCAGACTCCAGCCAGGACTTGGTCTGTAGATGGAGAATATCCAACTTACATGTGTATACATACATACACATACACACACACATACACAGAGTCCTCACAAACCTCTGCACCCACTCACAGCTGTCACACACTGTGTACACACGTTAGTTCCACATGACACACATGCAGAAGTACACAATAAAAGGCCCCCATGCTCCTACTGCTCCCACTGCTCCATTGCTCCCACTGCTCCTAATTGCACACACAGGCCTTCACATACACACTCACAGAGTGCCCATAGACACCATTCACAAGTATACACAAGCACACTCCTATGTTCCCCTTGTACAGGCCTATTCACACTTAGTCATGGCCACACGCAGGTACACAGGCCATTGCACCTTCAACTCTCCTCCCAGGCAGCTTGTTCAAATAGAGAAGACAAAACTCAGCCTAGACAGAGAATTGGAATAAGCTGTGAGAAGAATCAGAAATGAAATGACCCTTGTGTTGGGGCTGGAGCCATTTTGTGTCTGAGGTCACAGTAGGGCATGTGCCAGTGGAGAGATCTCAGGCAAGCACCTGGTCACATACAAATACACTGAGGCACACCAACATGCTTATAGGTGTGCACACATGTGTGCCTACAAACCCACATACACACACACACATACAGGCCCACATACACACATGCCCAAGCATGTGCACACACATGCCCAGGCAGGCTTCCCCTAACACTATATCACAGCTCTCAACTTGTGGAGGTTCTGGCCGATCTGGGGAAGGTGTTGGTCTGTCCAAAACAGCTTTTGCAAACATGTAGACCTTCTGGCCACAGGAGAGCTTAAGTAGCCAGCCTGGGGCCTCACTGTCACAGCAAGCGCTCTGCATGCTCTACAGGCAAGTCCCCTCTCCAAGAGGTCACCTGTTCCAGCATCTCAAGGTAGCACAGGCTTCTGGAGCTAGCTTTGGGGACCCACTGTCTGCTCAGGAACCCAAATTTAGAATCCCAAAAGCCTGAGACCCTGCCTGGACAGATGGATAGATAGGGAGGGCAGCCACATTGAATTTCTGTGGCCAGAGCCAATAATTAGAGCTGGTGCCCTATCTGTGAAGACTAATGGGGATCTGGTCTGGGATGGATCCCCAAAGCTTAGGCAGTGGGCATAAATGTCCCATCCTGCAAGAAGAAAACTGAGGCACAGAGAGGGGAAGTAGCTGGGTGAGGACACCCAAGCCCAGCCTAGCCCCACCAATAAGCTGACACCTTTTTCTCCTTTACAGCTCAGTTGTATGGACTTATTCATTTTCATTTTTTTGTATATTTCACAAGAATCCTTTCTCTCCAAGTAAGAAATATTTCTGTGTGCTGATGTCTCCCTCCCTGTCCAGAGCAACACCCTTATCACTAAGACCCTAGAGTCTGAGCATGTGTCCTCACTTGTCCTCCCAGCTGGCCATATACTCAGCCAATCAGTCTCAGGTTTTGGGAGGGGACTCTGGGTCACAGAAATCACCAAGCCCACCTCCCACCCCACCACTGCAGCTTTCCTGACACATAGCCTTCAAACTCTGCTTGCACACTTCCCATGAGAGAGCCTCACTTCCTTTCCATGCAGTTCTTCCATCTAGAAATAGCCATGTCCTACACCTGGGTGAGAAGTATTGTGGATGCTGAAGTAAGCGTAACACCCCCTAATACCAGCAGGCTATGTTTTCCCCCTCAGCCTTGGGCAGCACTGCAGAGTGGCCAGTGGCTGGTTCCAGATCTGCTTTTCTCCCAGAAAAACAGCTTGGATCCTTGGGCTCAGGACCAGTCTTTGGTGACTCCCCAATTTAGTTTTCTTTCTTTGGATAATTCCAAGCTGTCACTGTCCCTCTACAGTCTGCTGTGATAGGATGGTCAACAAGACTGATGTCTTCTCCTCTTTCTGACGGCTCAGGGAAGGACCCCCAGGGGGGCTCCTAGGCCTGTGAACTGAGCCCTTCCCTTTTTACTTCAAATCACCCTCACCCCAAACCTGGGGTACTGCCCCCATACTCCATGGGACCGCTGGCCCCAGGGACTTTATTTTGGTGGGAAGGCCCTAGGTCACTCACTCACATACACTGACCTAGGGTCCATCTCCTCCCACCACCAGAGTGAAGATGGCCACCTCCCACTTGGGGTCTTGGTGATGGAGGAACACCCCAGCACCTGCTTCACCTTTTTTCTCTGCTCCTTCTGCCTCTCTCGGAAGTCCTCAAGGCTGCGGAGCTCCTCACGCAGGGCCAGGGCCAGCTGCATGTGGGAGTTGCCAATGTCTTCCATTTCTGAGGGCAGAGTATAGACATTGGTCTCCCACATCAGACCGATGGGTGTCAGCCACATACACATTCACCCCACCTAAGCTAGTTTCTGTCATCCCAAATCCTCCGTTAGTCCCACAGACCTGTGTGCAGCCTAAACTCCTCTCCTGGCCAGAATCCATCCACCTCTGCCTATGTTCCCAGAAGGTCCTTTTACCCTACAGCCTGGAGTAGAAGACAATTGGGACTTACGCTGCTTCAGGGAGTCAAAGGAGGCCCTCAGGGAGCTGCAAAAAAGAGAAGCCAGGGTCAGCAGGAGGATAATGCAGTGGAACCTGAAGTCCCACCAGGCCCCAGAAACTTTATTTTGGTGGGAAGGCCCTAGGTCACTTGCTCACATACACTGACCTAGATAGACCCAAGGGAACTGGGATTTCTAGAAGGCAAAGCTTTTTCTTTGGAAATTATAAAGCAATCAAATCTCCCCACTGGGGCAGAATGCTCCTGGCTTCTGCATGTCCTCAGGGGCCCTTTCCTCCCTCCTTGGAGCCCCTCTCCTGGCTGAGGTAGAAGGAGGCAGGGTTTAGACCTGGATTTAGGCAGGTGGCCTGGAGGATATTTTGGAGGAAGCTTGATGGGAGGGGGCAAGCAGGGAAGGGGTGAAGGAGGAGAGAAATGTGGGGAGGGCAACAGGGAGAACAGGATGTGCAGATGAGAACAATGGGAGACTATTTCTGGCCTGTGGCTGGGGTTGCTCGGTGGACACTGGTGACACCTCTGAGGGGGACCCAGGAGGGAAGATAAGGAGTTTACTTGATGGTGTGCTGAACCTGAGGTGCCTGAGAGAAACCAGAAGAAGGAGTCATAAGGCAGCAGGGTGGACAGCAGGGAGAGCAGGAAGGGAAGAGGCTGGCACCTGACCTGGAAGGTAGGGGAAGACACCAGAGGGTAGGGGTTGCCAGATGGAGCAAATAAAAATATAGGACTACAATTAAATTTGGACTTAGATCAAACAACTAATACTTTTTTAGTATGTATTCCCCATTAATATTTGAACGTACTTACATTTAAAAAGCTCTTGTTATTTATCTGAAATCCAAACTTAACTGGGAATACTGTATTTTATCTGGCAACCCTGCTGAGGGGGCTTGTACACAGAACCATGAACCAAGTTGAGGCCTAAGCAAAGATGTTGGAGCCCAGCCAGGACTAAGTTCTGTCGGCTGATAGATAATGTGGCACCATGAGGCAGAATGCTCTTTGGGTCAGAAACAGCGTGGGTGGGCAGAGTGCCCATCAGCTTTCAGAGGGGTGAGTTCCCTGTTTTGTGCAGGAGAGGTGATTTGGAATCCCAGCATAGAAACCCAGCAGGCCCTGGATAGGAGCTCCTGTTCTGGATTCCCACATGCAGATGCTAGAGCCAGGCAACTTGGGTTCAGTCCAGGCTCTGTGTAACCTTGGACAAGTTAATTATACTCTTTGTGTCTCAGTTCCCCTTTTGTAAAATGGGGATAATAATAACACAAACAGGATGATTGTGAGGATTAGATGAATTTATATGTACAAAGCATCTCTGTTGGGATCCAGATATTGTGCAGCCCTTTCCTGAGTCCACAACTGCACACCCCCCAGTTCTGGGGGTCACCTAGGCCCCTGAACCTAACCTGAGCTATATCTCCAGTGTTCCATGTAAGAGTTTGTCCATTCCCAGGGGTAAAATTCTCTGCCTATGTTTGTAGCCTCTTAATCAAGGAGGCAAAATCCACTGTGGCTTTCCCCTCACCAGGATGCCTGAGGAGCCACAGTGAGTCGAAACAGATAGGGAAACTGAGGCCAGAGCATGTCCAGGCTTATTGGAGTCATGCAGAGGCAACAGGGACATGTTCTGTCCTGGATGCATCTGGCAGCTGCCCTTGGCCCAGCCTTTCTGCAGAGCAATGCGCAGGTCCCCTGGTGGCCACATGGCCATACAACATCTGCCCAGGACACCCCAGGGCACCTGCCTTCTTGCCGGCATCTCCTAGCAATCCATGCAAGGCAGGCTTCCAGGGGACTCCTTCATCCCATTGGACAGTCAGGGAAACTGAGGCCAAGCAGATGCAGCACCCTGGCAGGACCCACAGGGATCCGAGCCTAGAGAACTATGGGGTGGTCTACTCAATGCCAGACCCCTAACCCTAAACTAAGTGAATTTCAAAGTGTAATTTGCACATTGGCAGCATCAACATTATCTGGAGGTTTGTTGGAAATGCAGATCCTCAGGCTCCACCCCAGTCCTGAAATAGAAACTCATAGTGGGGCCCAGCATACTGTATTAAGCCTCAGGTACTGCTGATGTCCATTCAAATGTGAGAGCTGCTGGCCTAAATTATTCAATCCTCATAACTCTCATCAGGGGAATGGCCTTAAACTCTTGTAGAGGATTTGGGGACCATTTGAAGTCTTTCTCTGCCCCATGAGACCCAGCAAAGATAGTTTCTCTTAGCTTTTCTATCATTCCCAGGTTCTTCCCCTTTGCCATTCAGAAAAACTGTTTCCAAGATCTTGAACTCTCCTCTATTGTGTCTTCTTTGCATGTCAAGGGCAGGAACCCCAGGCAGACCTCTACCCTCTGCTATTAGTCACTGCTATCCTTGTGTATATCTCATCCAGATGCCCCTTTTGACTTGGCTCTCAGGATGTTCAGCCTGAAATTCTATGCTCAAACACAGCCTACATTTCCAATATAAATATTTTCTTTTGTAACGTTCCCACCGTGTGGCATGACCCACCTCAGGCCCTTGCTTTGGCCTCCCTACCGACTGCCCACCAGCTCACCAGGTGGCTGCTGCCTCCCAGCTGATAGGAGTGGCTCCTCTCACCTCCCTGTGCTAGAGGCTGGGCCTGAAGTGAGTTGGTGTCAGAGGACCCCTTCTGGTAACAGGTCCCGCCTGTCTCCCTCCAACATCCTTAGTGATATCTTCATTCTCTGAGCTCAGAGGAAGAGAAATTTTGGAAACAACAGCAACAACAAAACCCTCTCCTGATAGGAAAACCACAGCATTTTAGGCTATGACAAGTGGGGGTGATGTGGGAATGTAATGGTGTAAGTCCATCCTCCTTCAGGAGCTGTCCTTGCTTGAGGTAACCACAGAGGGGCTTATAAGGAAATTGGCTCCAACCCTGCCCACCTTGATTCTTTTTCATTTCCTGAATCCCTGCCCTTTGCAGCTTCTGGAAGCACATGCCCAGCACCCAGGATGAGCAAGTGGGGGAGGAGGTGCAGCTTTTGCGGGGAGGTGATATTTCAGCCAAAGCTCAAAGTGCAGGTACACTGGAGAGGGAAGAGATAAGGGGCAACAGTCAGGGTAAAGGCCTGGCAGTTGGAAGGGAGAGTCCAGGTGAGCTTTCTGCAGGGCTAGAAGCAATGGTGATAGAGTCCTCTCCCTTCCTAATGTTGTCTTTAAAATGCATTGAAAGGGCTTATGGGATCTCTTCAGTGTGTGGAGACCAAGTCTTATTTGTGCATTCTCCATTGCCCAGTGGATGTTTGTTGATTTAATATGCGAAGGAGGTGAATGAGAAAAATCATTTGAAGACAAGAATAACCTCCCTTTAATGTATGTGGTTGATCCTCCAGACCCCAGTGAGGTTTCTGGCCAGTCTGAGGGCAGGGCTGATGCAGAAATGCTTCATCTTCAGGCAGCAGAGGCAAGGGAGGCCAATCAGCTCTGCCCTTTTGGCTCTCGCTGGGCTATTTCTGGGGTCACTTAGCTTCCTGGCTTTGTTGTCTGTTTGCCTCCACCAAACCTGTGCATCCCCTGCCCTCTGCCTGCCCTCCAAGGGACTGAGAATGAGCATCTTGGGGGACCTGGGGATCTTGGCCATGTGGAGGCTAGGGCTCCCTCTACAGAGGAGGTGCCAGCCCCCAAGCTAAATAGTCAAGCCACCTTTCCCAGAGGAGTTAACCAAATATACTTCCAC